TTTCGTTACTAATTTTAATATTTTATAAAATAGTTCGGGAAGCAGCATTCTGATTGGGCTGAATCATACCACTCTTCTTTTCTTTCGCCAAAATTTTCACGAGGCCGTAGGTGATACTCAAGAGCGCGGGAACGCTGAATTTGAATCGGCAAGGTTGAGCGTGGGCAGGGGGTTATTACCTTAAAATTTTTACTTACAAGCGAATTCTATTTTGTTTCGTCTTGTTTTCAGGGCTTTCTTGGTACACAGTGACTTCCTTAGCCAATAAAACAGAGGTCTAGAAGCTGTGTTTTGTTTGATTTGCTTATATGTTTGTTATTTTTTCCAAAAAGCCGAAAAAAATTAATGTATTTTTTGAACGTGTCGATTTTTTTTAGCTGCAACATCCGGACAATCTTCATCGGTACCAGCAAGAGCCGAGCTAAAAGCCGAAAATGGTATAATCTGTGGTGATCTCTATCCAGCACATCACGCCGACTGTATACCAACATCACTGGACTCACTGAGGACGCTGGGCGAGAGTTTGAGGGATTTTCATGTGGTCAGAGATCGGCGAATTATTTCGCTGAAAGCTGTTGATGTTAGTTATTTTAAATGAAATTTATGGCTCTTTCCCCAAAAATCATGAAAGTGTTGGTGAGCTGTAGCGATGTTTAAAAAGCGTTTTACAAATGAAATATTGCTGTAGCTGCGTTGCCAAAGTGGCATGTGTTGGAGATGTGCTCATTTCTGTCGTCTTTCTCTTTTCCTTTTCCATTAATCATACTGCAACCGTCATACAGACGAGGTCCAGTCGTGGTGTTGAGTTAGGATGTAGTTAGGATATATGTGTGTGTGTTCATGTGTGTGTGTGTGTGTGTGTGTGCATGTGTTTGTGTATGTGTTTTTGTGTGTGTGTCTGTGTGTGTCTCGACTAGAACGATTTCTTCTGTTGTCCAGTCAAGTCGAAAACTCTTCTTCTCGGAAGTATTTCCTCAGGGATTGTTGCCCACGATCTTATCGTGCATTCTATATGTGCGTTTACAGCTAAGGGATGAAACACAGAGACTGCATCGTGAAATGTCTTATATATGACACCTAATTCCAATCTTCTTAATCTACTATCCATTAGAAGAGCGAATTGTGTTTGGTCTGATAGCTGATAAGTTTATTTTTGGGCTCATTTCTGATTGGAATTAAGTAATTTTACGTTATTATTAATCTGTTTCTAGTGAATTTGAATGGATTTGTGTTTTTTCAGGATTTTGAAACTGGATCCGATCAAAATTTATCTGCAAGTTCCATTGAATCAACAACAAGCGAACCAGCTTGGCAACCACCTACAAATGAAAGCACTCTCTGGTTTGCATTTTTTTTTTTGATTGGTTTTTTTCAAATGTTTCTCTTTTTGTTTTGAATTTTGTTATCAGTGGTCTAGGAGTAGGGCGGAAGGGGAGGGGGAGGGGGAAGTGGTTGTTTTTTGGTTTGTTAAAACCCGGTAAAAGCACTAAATCATTTTTTGCAGGGAGGAAAATCAAAAAAAAAAAAATTGAGTCAGATAGGTACAGTTAGTTTGTCGAAAAAACTATAAAGTTGATGAATAGGAAGTGCCAAATTGCTAAACTGAGAATTTTTGGGCTGAGGCCCGCCTGCACAATACACTACAGTACAATACTTTTTTAACACGGGAACAGCGGCCTTATATAGGCAGTTTCGCGCTAATTATGCATGCCCTAGCTAGGAGGAAATCATGATGCAACAGAATAAATTAACAGAAAAACTCTAAATATACGCTGGGAACTTTAAAAATGCTCCTATTTCTTAAAAAAATGGGCGCTTTTTTGATGAGATATCAGAGTTGGAATGAAGTAGAATGTAATTGAATAAAATGGTATCGAAGGAAAAACCAAAAGTAAGGGACGAAGCAAGATGGTGGGACAGAATGTGTTGTAAAAAAGATACAGGACATGTAGTGAGAACATGTGTGAAACTTTGCTCCCTGTGGTTTCATCCCTAAGCTGCAAATACAGACAGTATTCGGTGTGGGATGGGTTGGGAATCGTCAGTGCAGCCCCCAAACCTATGTCATTCAAACATGGTAGTTAGGGGGCTGTACTGATGATTCCCGCCCCTAGTCACATCTGGTGTTGTCTATGTTTACAGCTTGGGGATGAAACACAGGCAGGCTTTTTGTACACACAGTTCTTCAAATGACTTCTTTTAAATTTCACCTTGACTTATGTAAAAAAATATCACAGCAGTCTGAACCCTTTTTATTTTCTTTCTTTCATTACCAGCACAGACCTTCGGCGATTACCGTCCCCCCCCCCCCCCCCCCCCCCCCCCCCCCCCCCC